ATTTCTCAAATCATAATAGGCACTTTAGTCAGAATAATTTCCCCAATAGACATCCTAATCAAAGTAACTATTTCAATCATAGATACCAGAATAATAACCTTATTCCTAATAGACAAAATTTTACACAACAACATTGGCCCAATCAACCAATCAATGTTCAACCTCGACCAATGAAACAAAACTTCCCGACAAATAAACAAGTATTTGGCCCAAACCAACCTAAATCAAAGAATTTTGGTCCTACCCCGATGTCCGGTATTTCTACCATAAACTCCGATCATTTTAAATCCCGACCTGAGTTTAATAAAACCGAGGCAGACATAACCCCACCTGGATGGTCATATAACAACATAGAAGATCAATTATCCGTTTTTACCCATCAAGGACATTTGACCTTTGAACAAATAAATACATTACAAATTCCTGATGATCAGCCAGACGAGTTCCCATACGACGAACAATACGACGACGAAGACTGGGATGCAGAACTAGCTGAAAATTTTCAAGACACCAGTCCCACATAAAAAAAAAATCAATCCCTCATGTTGAACTAAACACAAATTTAATCCATAGTTCACTTCCCTACATCCAATTAAGTAAACCTCCTTTAAAACTCCTCTTAGATACAGGTAGTTCTAAAACTATTCTCAAACCTGATATTGTACGAAAATATTTTCCGAATCTCATTAGAACAGACCCTATCCAAGTAAAAACTGGATCAGGACAAATCCTTGTGAAAATCCAAGCTCATATTCCATCCTTCCCCGAGTTCAATTCAAATCAAAAACTTGATACTATCCTTTTCAATTTTCATGAATTCTTCGATGGAGCCCTTGGTATAGAAGACATTAAAAAACAAAAAATAGAAATATCCTTCAAAAATAATACTATCTCCAATGACTATTTCTCCTTACCTATATCTTATAAACATCCAATATCATATACCCAAGATCAATCAATAATTCTTGCTCCTCAACAAATTACAAAGATAACCTTGCCAATAGATCAAACCAATAATACAGAACTCCTAATAAATGAAATCAAAGGTAATAAATGTTATCTCCCCACTACCTTGACAAAAGTAATGAATAATGAAATATGTTTCGAAATTCACAATTACGACACGCAATACCGCAACTTTGATCCCACTAAATTAAAATTTACACCTTCATCAGAATATCAAACCTACGATTATAAACTTATCAAAGAAAGCGAAAATTTACATCAAAAATTAAATTTAAAATCCCTATTAAGATCCTCACATTTAAATAACGAAGAACGAACAAAATTATTCCGATTATGTGACAAATATACCCATATTTTTCAAAAACCACATGAAAAACTAAGTTTTAGTAATACAGTAAAACATGAAATTCTTACAAAAGATGATAACCCTGTATATTCAAAAAGCTCCCGATACCCATATATTCATAATGAAGAAGTTTCTAAACAAATCTCAGAAATGTTAAATAACCACATAATAAGACCTTCCCAAAGTCCTTGGTCTTCCCCAATCTGGATAGTACCGAAAAAATTAGACGCAAGTGGTAAACGAAAGTGGAGACTTGTAATTGATTATAGGAAAGTTAACGAAAAGACAACAGATGATAAATATCCATTACCCAACATTACTGAAATTTTAGATAGATTAGGAAGATGTTCATATTTTTCAACTATAGATTTAGCATCTGGTTTCCATCAGATTGAGATGCACCCAAATTCTGTCCAAAAAACCGCTTTTTCAGTTGACAATGGTCATTATGAGTTTATCAGAATGCCTTTCGGATTAAAAAATGCCCCAGCAACTTTTCAAAGATGTATGGATAATGTTTTAAAAGATCTTCAGAACAAAATTTGCATGGTGTATATGGATGACGTAATCGTATTTTCCAACGGTTTACAAGAACGTCTACAGAACCTTGAGTTAGTATTCAAAACCTTTGAAAAAAATAATTTAAAGATTCAACTGGATAAATCCGAGTTTCTTAGGAAAGAAGTAACATTTTTAGGACATGTAATAACACCCGACGGAATAAAACACAATCCAGAAAAAATTAAAGCTTTTCAAAATTTTCCCATACCAAAGACTACTAAAGAAATCAAATCATTTTTAGGTTTATTAGGTTACTATAGGAAATTTATAGAAAACTTTGCAAAAATAACGAAACCTTTGACAAATTGCTTAAAAAAGATCGAAAAGATCGAACTAACCAAAGATTATTGCAATTGTTTTGAATTTTGTAAAACCTTATTAACAAATGACCCTATATTAATATTCCCCGATTTCACGAAA